TAACAATGCAATTGCAGCGGTTAAGTGATCAATTTGTGTGTCAATAGTGCACAAGTTATGACTATTGCAGTTGACAAATGTGTTGGTAACATCTATACATCTATCGGTCCACCTGAATTTGATAAAAGCCTTTAATTTATGTACATAAAAATTTGATTAAAATTTATCCCAAAATTATACTGCATGAATTTTATCCTCTACCCGAAATTTACTTGTGGTTGCGCCACTCGTGCATACCTAGTTGATGTTTAAGGAATTTTTCCGAACATAAATAAAACCAAAATCGGTTGATTCGGTTGATTTTGCTGAAATTTATTAAGTTCTGGTTGAAGTGGCTGCATTGATTTATTCTGCTGATTTAAGAAAAAAATAGTTTTAAAAATATATTTTATGAATAAAATAAAGAAAAAATTATATATAAAAATAGCTAAAATGATCATTTACAGTAATTTCAGCCAATACAGCCTGAAAAGTAACTTCAACCTTATTTTTTCTTTTTATTACACAATTACGCGTGCGAAAATAAAAGTTACGTATTTGATGAAAAATTTGACTAATAAATTTGATAAGCCGAAAAACTGTGTTACCAAACGGCTTCTAAATCACTAAGGAGTATAAAATTTCAAAATCCAACTGTTTTCTTTTTTTGAAAGACAAAATCCAACTGTTTTTTAAGACTGAAGTGGTTTTTTTCAACGAATCCGGGGTTATAGACTTATAGCTTCCTAATTACCTCAAAGTCAGCCCCACTGACGGTGATTGTGGACCGTTTGATTAAAAATATACTCAATGATTTCCTCAAAGATCTTGCTCGGATACACTAGAATTCTCTTCAGATCAACACTTAACTACGTACCACTAATCCACAGAGACTTTCCGGTCTACCCACAATGAGAAAAGATGGTCGTGAGTCATGAATAGATAGATATATAAGGCATGTCCGACCCATCTAGTCGTAAACCCATTGGCGTAGATTTAAATTTTCCTAAAGTATATGATGTGTGATTGAGAAAACGACCATGCAAAACCGCGGATGCTGAGATATAAAGCAAAAAAAAAATAGAATTAAAAAAGGCTAAAAGGCGTACTTTTTAAAAAAAGTTGTTGCAAAAAGTAGATCTAAAAAGTAATGTTGCAATTGACCGAATAAGAATTTACAAAAAAAAAAATATATCGAATATTAAAAAAAACGTAATGAAATAGAAGGTTTAATATTTTGTTAACAGAGCCCTTATACGGAAGCTATACTTTATTTTAGGTTCTCTCTATATTTTAGGTTCTCTATTTCAGATTATATTAAACTAAACACATCAAGTAGTAAAGTGCATACTACCTTCTAGGGCTGGTCCTGAGGAAGTGAAGGCCCTGTGCAACAAAAATAATTGAGTCTTCTTATCAAAGTTTCAACACATGTTAAAAAACTGAACCGAAACCGCACCAACTCAAACAGGACCCGAAAGTCGGGACTTGAACATAAATCGGTTTAATGAAGGTTTTTTGAGTTATAAAATCGATTCAAACCGAACCAAACCGATTTTTATTAAGAGGTATTTTTAATTATTTATTTTGTAGAACAAATAGGTAATGTAAGCTTGTACGTCCTTATTTCAATTCAACAATTAGTTGATTCGGTTCAGTGGGTTGATGTTTAGAGATCAGCGTGCGTGGTTTTATTTTCACCTAGGTTCGAATCTCACATGTCTCGCTTCTTATCTTTTTAGTTTCTAAAGCTTAAGATTCCCACACCGGTGAAAACGGAGGATTTAGTACTCCTTCGTTCCTATATATACGCTCCACCTCTAAGTAATACTACTCCCTCCGTCCCAAATTGTTTTGCAAAGTCAACATTTTTTTTGTCAACCAATAAAAAAAGACAATGCTTCCTATCGATAATTAATTCCATTTTTAATAATTAAAATTTATATATTCAGAAACTATATTAATATCTCTTCAAAGTTGTAAAATCCAAATTAGAATATTATTAAAAATTGACATCCTAATTAAGAAAATAAAAGAAATTGTTTGACCAAGAAAAGTCAAATTTGCAAATCAATTTGGGACGAAGGTAGTAGTATATTACTACAAAAAAAATTGGGCCCTTCCAATTTTTTGGGCCCTGTGCGGTTGGACACCCTACACACCCTCAGGGCCGGCCCTGCTACCTTCATCCCGGTCAATTGTGTCAAGTTAGAATCGAAAGTTGTGTGATTGAGATTTATGCAGAGGAGATAGAAATGAGCAGAACCACAAAATAGTTACTTTAATGGAAAGTTATAAAGTTTTTTAGGACAACCAAAAAGATAAAGTTAACAAAGTTCAATAGGACACAGAGAGTACATAATACTCTCTTGGTATTAATATAAATGTCCCAATACGGCAATACCCTTTTCATGTAGTTTAAGATGATTTATAGATTTACTGTACACATTTGAAAAGGTATGAGACTATTGGTATCGTAGCATTATTGTTTACTTTATTAAAGTGTATTGTAACTGATTTGGGGGTGAGTCTATTTCCTAAAATGAAAGTGAGACACTTATTTTGATAAGTCCATTAACTGAAAGTGAGACGCTTACAGAGGGAGTATATATTTATCAAACAAATTCTGACCAAATCAAACACGACCTAGACAAACTGTAGATTATTTTTCCAAGTTGACTTCCTAAAACACCCTTTTAGCGTGTGATAAGTTTTAACTGTAAAGTACACTGTTCTGACATTTTTTAAGACTGTTTAACATTGTTTGATAATATACTCTCGTAATTATTTAATGTAGTTATTTAAGGAAATGAAATCTTATTAAGAGATTTCCCTACAAAAAAGAACCCTACAAATATACGTATAAATATTTGTATGAATTTTGTGTACACCTCATGATCGATGGTCTACAAAACAGCTTTTGAACCAATTGTCCATATAGAAAAACAACTAAAAAAGATATACCGAGTACAGTAAGGAGTATAAAATATGTATACCAATAGCATTTGGCTAAAAATAAGTGGAAAGTTTTTTTGGAAGATGGAAAGTTGTTTATCGAAGGGATTCCCTTCGTCTCTTAAAACTTTACCAACTTTCCTTTTTTGGATGTCTCATTAACTTTGTCACTTTTCCTTTTTCACTACAGAATCTGTGGTAACAGTTAATTCTCTCTCCTTTGCACAAACCTCAATCACACGGTTTTTACTTTATTAATCCCTGTGACGGTCAAACTTGTCTAAGTTTTAAAGAACGGATGAAGTACTCCCTCCGTTCCTATTATATCTTCCATTTCACTTTGGCACACAATTTAAGAAAAGTGGGTATTGTGTGGTGGAGAATTGTGCAGAGAAAAGAGAAATGTGTAAGAATTATTGTGAAACACAAATACTTTACCAAAAAGAGAAAGTGGAAGTTTAATTGGAACGGATGAAAAAAGGAAAGTTGGAAGATATAATAGGAACGGAGCGCAATTTATACCCTGCAACCGGCGCACCATAAGGATGGTGCGCCCGGTTGCAAAACAACGCAGCTTCAGGTTGATTCCATTATTTTTTATTTCTTTTATTGTTAAAAATTGTAATAACTTTTTTATTTGATATCCGATTTTTATTAATTTTATATCAAATTTTTTATTTTTCATGATCTATCAAATGAGACCAATATTGTTTATGTAATTTTAACAAATTATATTGAAGTTACATTTGATAATATATCATGAAGTTACATATTCTTCTGCGCGAGTTACATCTTATTGTACGCGAGTTACATCTTAATATACGCGAGTTACATCTTAATGTATGTGAGTTACACCACAAAATAAACCCCTCCTACATCTTTCATTTTTATTATTTGAAAAATAGTGTATGAATATGAAATACAATATACTTATTTTATGTAGATTAATAAAATTTTGTATTAAATTGGCAAAGAAAAAAATTAATTCAGTTATAATTGAATTAGTTCAAGATAAAGATAAGTAAAAAATCACAAATAATTAGATATAACTCACACATAATTACATGTAACTCGCGCATAAAAGTATGTAACTCGTGTATAACAAGATGTAACTTACACATAACAAGATGTAACTCACATATAATTACATGTAACTCGTGCATAAAAGTATGTAACTCGTGTATAACAAGATGTAACTCACACATAACGAGATGCAACTCACACATAATAACTTGTAACTGAATTATAAGATGATGTAACTTCGTATATTATCAAATGTAACTCCAAGCTATAAACAAAATAAACAAACTCAATATCTTAAAACCTCTAAAAACATATAAAAGTAATAAAAAAATATATTATAGAAAAAGTGTATGCATATAAAAACATATTACAAAAAATGTATGAATATACTTCCTCCGATTCTTATTAAAGTTCCCAGTTTGACTTCACGCATATTAAGAAAATGAATTTGACTTTACTGTGGAGTGCACTGTTTGACACTGTTTGGCACTATTTGGACACTGTTTGACACTGTTTGGCACTGTTTTGTATTGTTTTGTTTCTTAAAATGGAAGTGTGAACTTAAATAAGGGACATCCCAAAAAGGAAAGTGAGAACTTTAATAAGAACCGGAGAGAGTAAAAAATTAAAATTACATAGACAATATTGATTTTATTTGACAGATCATGCCCCGATTCTATGGTATAAGCAAATTATACCGTATAGAACAAATTTACACTCCGTACCAGTTTTCACTTTTATAAAAAGGCCGATTTAACACCACGTAACTGTTTCAAAAAAACACTCCCATCGTATGCAGCACGGCATTGCCGCCGCAATAACAGGTGTGCGTAAACCACGGCACCTACGCAACGCATGAAATACCGAAAAAGCCCAAACTTCTTCAGTAAATCACGAATAGGTTCCCCTCCCTACACACGCGATCAAGTCTTGAGTGTCTGACACTTGCGAAGAGAGTAGGAATGCCAAAAGTTTCCCATTCTGCCCTTCTAAATAATATAGACCATATAATTGCTTAAGAAAAAAAAATCAAACACACTCACACTGTGTCTGCCGGCGGCCGCGAGGTCGATCCGCCGGATGCAGCGGACTTCTCCAGTGCATCAGAGGAGGAACTGGAAGACGTCTGCCCCGCCGCACTGACCGCTGCCGGTTCCGCGCAACCGTCTCTCGGCGTAGCATTCGCCGCAGCCGAACTCACCGGGACGGAAAACCTGTCGTCACTCGCGCAATTTCCCGCCAAATCGGAATCCATCCTAGCGAAGCCGCCTCCGTTCTCCGCCCGGAAACTCCATCCAAAATCGCCGAGTAGGTTCCCGTCGTCCTTTTCGAGTCCAGTGCCGAAGAAGTAAGCAGCGTCGGAATCGCAGCCTCCGCCGAGCGCCGCCCAGCTCGAATCGGTACTGGTTAAATCGTCGACTCCCCGATCAGCCTTATCCTTTTCTTCGTCCATATATGCGTAGTCGATCAATAGAGTCTTCGAGGCGCGATTGATCGGTTTTTCGATGAAACGATTGAGAAAATTAGGGTTTAGAAAGAGAAAGGCGCGTATTTGTGTGTGTGAGTGAGCTCTTTTGGAGTGTTTTGAAAGGTCGTGGCGTCGAGACAGGAGGTGAGAAGAGTGAATGAAGTGAAAGAGAGAGGGGAGAAAGATGGCATAAATAAAAAAATGGTAAGGCAGACAACAAAGTCACCGTCAACATCTTAATTAGTACGGGAGGCTGATATTTTAGCAGGCATAGGACTAGATTGCGGTTCAATATTGAAGAAACTAACAAGACTCAATGCTTTGAATCTTAACCAACATTAGGCTTGGTTTAATTTCGAGTGTCTAATTGATTAAATCCATGCAGCTTTATTAAAAAGAAAGTCTAGGGAGAATGACATTGACACCAGTCTATTTGTATTTTTATTTAAATTCTAGGATAAATATTCGCAGCAGCTTCAAATAAGAATTATTTAAGTAATTTTACAATAATTTATCCTTCTTTAATTGTACAAATTACAAAATCACCGATACTACCTCCGTTCCCATTTTAACTTCCAAATGGGTTTGGCACAAAGTTTAAGATAGTGGATGTTGTGTGGTGGAAAGTTGTGCAGAGGAGAGAGAAATGTGTAAGAAATGTTGTGAACCACAAATTCTTTATCAAAAAGGGAAAGTGAAAGTTTTAATTGGAACGGACGAAAAAGGAAAGTTGGAAGTTTATTTAGGAACGGAGGGAGTATATGTTATTATGAAATACTCTCTCCGTCCCCGTCGTTTAGACCGTTTCATTTGTCCTTTTTAGTTTGTCTTACTAAAATTGTTTGATGTCAAATTTGACAGTGCCAAACGAGTTGCTATAAAATACTACCTTCGTCCCTTAAAACTTTGTCAAAGTTGACCGGCACGGAGAATAATAAAGTAAAAATTGTGTGCTTGAGATTTGTGCAGAGGAGAGAGAAATAACAGAAACCACAAAATAATTGATTAAAAGGGAAAGTGACAAAGTTTTTTGGGACGTCCCAAAAAGAAAAGATGGAAAAGTTTTAAGGGACGGAGGGAGTAATACACAAATGGACATTACAAATGACACCCGTGAGCTATATCAGTATATCATTTTACCTGCATGGGTAGCTCAGTTGGTCGAGTGGTGGCAAAATTGAACCCAGTGACCAAGCTTCGAAAACCGCAGCGGCCGTGTGGAGGTTAAAGAACTTGAAATAAGGCTGGACCTCTAGTACGCACGTGTATAAGGCCTACCGCCGCTTTGTTTCCTAAAATGGGTGTGAACTTAAATAAGGGACATCCCAAAAAGGAAAGTGAGAACTTTAATAAGAACCGGAGGGAGTACAACCTATGTATGGTAGCCGCACGGGTAAATCAGTTGATTCAGTGGTGGGAAATTTGAAACAATGACCAATTTTCAAAACTCGCAGCGGTCGTGTGGAGGTTACAGCTCCTGCGTGCTGATTGGACCTCTAGTGCGCACAGATATAAGACATAACTCTATTGGACCGACAAAATTACTATGACTTACTCTTCCCTCATTCTGTCGAATCAAGGTGTAGGGTTTGGGGTGAGAGATTCCACCTTTGGAACAAGAAAATGTTATACGGTGATCTTTTGTGATCTGGTACGGCTCTTTTCCAAATAAAAATATGTACTTTATCTTCAATGATGTGAATTGAGCAATTGTCAATAATATGACCAATTCTCCTATATTCAATTCACGTTTCTGGCCCATTGACTATCCCATGCATTGACTATCGTAATCGATTCACTAACCAGACAGTCGGTGTTTGAATATATGACCATCAATCTTCAACCAATAATCACAATTCTCTCTTAAAAAAAAGATGACACCTCATTTGGACGGTATTATGGTAGGATGTAAATTGGACTATAATTCCAATCTGACAGACAGAGAATGGGGTTCTGTCCCCGGTACTTGCAGAGGCTCTATACATTTCTTAGCATAGTAACCTCTCATCGCAGTTGTTGGGATTCGAAGTCGGAACCTAACCCTTGTGACACTCTCTCGCTACCAGTTGAGCTACGCCCACCGGTCACAATTCCCTGTTTGCTAACTAAGTGGTTCGGTAGTTGGTGGTCAATGAGAATGAATCAGTCATCCGCACAGCGTGGCGATCAATGTGGATACAATATGTGAGAGAATGCAATATACCATAAGTTTACATTTTTGAATAAAATAATATATAATCATCGTGCTAAAAAACTTTATATAGTTAAAAGTTTGGAATATTTGATTTATTTTTTTCCCTAAATTTTACTAGTTGCTTGTGGGGGAGTGCAAATCCGATCCTACCTGATTGACCCGATCGGATATATCCGATTTTTTTGTTGGGGTCAGAAAACCCGACCCGAAATACCCAAACCCGATCCAATTTTTGCAACCCGAGACTTAAGCGGATAGCGGGTAGGGTTACCAATTATGCTACCCGACCCGCCCGAAAAACCGAACTAGCATAGTATATATACTACTTTAAATTATTATGCATGTTCAAATATCTCAATTATTATATGTCAATTACCATATTATGCATGTTCAAATATTCCAATTACCGTATTAGTACAACTATAACTTTGAATGTTGTATTGTCATGACTTTGAATGATATTTTGACCAATTATCATTTTATTTATCACAATATCAATTATGTCAATCACCGTATATTATTATTTTACATGTTCAAATATGTCGATTACCGTATTTATACAACTATTACTTTGAATGATTGATAGAGTATACCTCTTAGATTCTAGAGAGAAGTGAGAGCTAGAGAGAGAAGTGCAATAATATGCTTCAGTAGAATGATTTTGTAACCCCTATAACTACTCCCAAGGGGAGTATTTATAGAGAAAATTAGGGTTGGGCTCCCAAGCCTTGGGCTTGGGAGGCCCATTTACAACTGGACCGCTACTGGGCCGAATACAAAGCCTCTAATGGGCTGTACAAATGAATAAGTATAGAATCCGTTTCTGGGAGGTCTTCGTGGCCGACGAGGACGTGGCCGACGAGGGCACGGCCGACGAGGGCACCCGGGTTCCTTGGGCTCAGGACCATGATCCGAGTTGGCTTCTTCTCGGCCGACGAGGGCGTCTTGGCCGACGAGGGCGCCACTCTGTTGTCTTGTGCTCTGTTCTTCCGAGTATGTGGGTCCTGGGGCTCAGACCCATATACTCCATCAGGAGTCCCCCACTCTCTAAGCTGAGACGTGGACGAAGTGAAGGAGAGTAGATTTCTGTGCTTTGTTGCTTTTGGCCGACGCGGGCATTTCCAGGCCGTTAGTCGTTGCGGCGTTGGCGTTGTTTTCTCTTTGGTGATCCTGTTCTGTGCCTTGGCCGTTACCTGTTCCTCGCTGTGGCGGGGAGGCCGTTGTTTCCTTAATTTGTTCGTTTGGGGACGATGAGTGTCCTGCTTCTATGGTGGCCGTTGAAGGCGCGCTCCCTTATTTGGACGTTGGTAGTTTGAAGTTTACATTTGGGCCGGTGAGGCCACTGAGGTTGAACCTTGTTTCGAGGACGATGGCGTCCTTTCCTTTGGGTGGCCGATGAGGGTGTTTGCGCACTCCTTTTGGCCGTTGCTGGTTGGCCTTCGTGTTCTTGGCCGAAGGGCCCGTCAAGATTAATCGTTGGCGGAGGACGATGAGTGTCCTTGCCTCTAGTGGCTTGTTGGCCGTTGCTAGTGACGTTATGGGCCTTTGGCCGATGAAGTTCCGTTGTGCTGTATGGATGATGTGGCCATGCTTTGTGGTTACCTTATTCGCACTCTTTTGTTTTGTTGAGGCCGGTGTAGTCCCCCAGTCCCCCACTGCTTCAGGCCGAAGAGTGTGAGGGCTGAGGCCGATGGTAATTTTCTTCGGCTTTCTGTCTTTAAGTTTTGTCCTTTGCCTTACTAATCTGTTTGTGCTTTTCCCTTGTAGATTTTGTCATGGACCGCCGTTCCATGATGGCTATTGCAAAGGCCAAAGCGGCCGAGGAGATTGCTGCTAAGGCGGCCGAAGCGGCCAGGCGTGCCGCGGCCGGTGTGAGCGGGGCTACTGCAGATGCGGCCCCAAAGCCTGCCCCATCCAAGAAAAAGAGACCGGCCACTGACGGCCAGAAAAAGTTGACCGAGGCCGGTGTGAGCGTCTCTAAGAAGACGAAGAGGGCTCCTTCCCCTTCTCCGGCCAGTGAGGCCGGTACGCTTGCTGTCCCCAGCGTGGGCGATGGTGGTCCCGTCGTGGACCTTACTGTTGCTGGTGATGCCGCTCCAGCGCTGCCTCTCGTCCAGGAACCACGGACGAAGAGGGCCGGCAAGGAGATCGCCGGTGACACCTATCAGAAAGTGATAGAGTACCCCGTCGGCGGGGGCGTGTTTAATGAGCTCGTCCCCGGCCACGTCGTCCTTGCCAAGGCCATGCCGGCCAAAGATCGGGCTCATCTGAAGAAGCTCGAGGACCCGAAGATTTATGAGGGCGGCATGGATCTCCTCGTCCAAGTAAGTGATTGTCTTTATATTCTTGTCTCTCTTCGTCTATGTAGAGTTTTTGCCTGACCTTTGTTTTTCTTATGCAGAGTGCCTTCATGCTTATGGAAAGCCATAAGAGGCAGTACTGGGAGATAATCCGCCTGCAAGCACTGGAGCAGAAGGCTGCCTCGGCCGACGAGGCGGGAGCTTGCCTTGACCGGCTTCGGGAGGATGCCAAGGCGCTGCAGGCCAAAGCTGATGAGGCCGTCGCGGCCAGGGACATTGCCCTGGTCCAGCTCGAAGAGAGCAAAAGGGAGCTCGCAGAGTCCCGTAGAGCGCTTGAGGCCGAGAAGCGCAGGAGCGAGGAGGCCGCCAAGGCGAAAGCTGAGGCCGAGGCCGCCGTCGTGAGGGCTGCTGATGAGGCTGTTGAGAAGTTCTTGGCCGAAGGGTGGAAGGCCGATGAGAGGCTCCCCTGGTGCTACGAGGTGGTGGCCGCCAGGCTGGAGAATTGGGGGATGAACTCCCCTGCCGGCCGGGAGTATTTCAGCCAGGAGATGTCTGTTTACTACAACCTGGGCCAGGAGCGGATGCAAAGGCTCCTGTACCGGCGGCTATCCCGGGCGTTGAAGGCCATGAATTACACGGCTGGATGGGCTAGACGGAACCTGAAGCTCC